CGGCAAGGCGGGAGTCGGCACCGGCCCCGCGGCCCGAGGGGGACTCGCTTCGTGCCGCTGTCAAACGCGGCCCTGCGGTGGTGTTTCCACACGCAAGACCCCTCTTTGAATGCTCAGAGGATGCTGGAAGATACCCACGTGTTTGAAAATATGAAGAGAAGTTTTAAATTCGCTTGTTCAAACAAAATTGGCAACGACGGCTACTTGCAGTGGTAACGGTGCGGTTACACAGAGACTGAGAAAGAAGTGAGTTCAGGTTTTACAATTCCTTCTCTCTTCAAACTTTCAACAGAAAAACCACCTCAGTGTATGTGAAATGCCAACTCTGTTGGTAATCTACTGTTGCACTTGCTACAGAAATTTTCCTCTTCCTTCCTCGCTCTGGTCTCTTTAACTCCGCTTCAAATTGAAACGCAAAAGAATATCCAGAGCCCAATGTATTGGGTCTTTTAGTTCATAGCACGGCACCCGTCGATTACCAGTAGCAGTTGTTATGGGGAAGCAGCTTTCCTCCGAAAGACGGCAAGAGTAACTCTACCCTCAGGGAGAGAGTCCCTCTCTTCTTTACGCTAATAGTCATGCTTCAATTGCTCCACGCCTCTCCCAGAATGACTCAGATAAATTACACTGGCAAACAGACGTTTACTCTTCCACCACAAAGCTAGAAACTTGAAAAGATGTTTAGCCTCCTGAGAGCCCGGAGGAAAATACAGCCGTTAAATTACAACTGTCAGAAAAGGCACATAAGATAAATCATGCTTGAGGTTGACATATGCATCCCCTGCAACTGCCTGACATACCCTAGATATTTCAAGCTTTGCCCCTTATTTAGCGAATTTATAGAAAATACTAAATAAAAGTGCATTCATTAGCCATTTTCCTCTAGGAAATAATTCTCGCATAATTTGAAGCAAGAGGAATATATTAAAGAACATGTTTTAATTAAAGGATAGAGTGACTCAGGGTTTCAGCAGGCAGAGGTACAGGCTTTCATGCTTAGGTTATTGGTTAACCAACTGAGAGGGCTCCGACTCAGAGATGCGACATCCAACAAATTATTTGTCAGAGGCTGTGTAAAATACCCGGGCAATTTCAGTTCCACTCCAAACACTTGGGTATTTGTATCGCAAAAAGCATCATTAAAATTAGGTGACCACACGCATCTGTAGCCCTCTTGACATCTCAGCAGAGAGGAAACTGAAATACAGCTTCATTCTTCTCAGGCAAATGAAGCCGGGTCAGCTGGATTTGCGCTGAAGGCTGTCTAAAACCTCAGAGGTGACAGGTTAACGTGGCTCAGCTGCACAGGTTGCAGCCTGCTCACGAGGGCGGAAACACAGAGGGTAAATTCAGGTTGGTCCGGCCAACTCTACCAAAAGTATGCTGGTGAGTGTTTAGCGAGGTGACTTACACCAGGGCTGTACTCCGTCCCCACCAACAGAACGAGAACTCTTTTCTCAGTACCTCCCCAACAGCCAGGTCCGGCGTTAAGGAAGCTTGTACTTCTATGAAATGCCCTACAGAAATCCAGGGTGTTATGTAGCTCCTTCGAGAACTTGACTCTGGAATTGCCTACAGTCGGAATAAGGAGAAAGGACAACACGATGTTATTCGTGCACCATTTCAGAAATAGCCAGAACGCAGGCCTCAGTCGAATGCCAGCGGGAGGGCTGCGCACATCATGACACCAAACTGATAGGGTAAGGGCCGCTTGACCCGGGTAAACTGGTTACAAAAGTGTTTCTGCGACACGTCCACAAGCATAAAGAGGCAGACACTTCTGTTCACAGGGCCCGTGAACATGTATGTGCTCTTAGATACTTGAGTATTTAGGGTGAGCAGAAACTCATGGTTTAGGGTCTGGCACCGAAAAAGAAAAAGAAAAAGAAAAAGAAAAAGAAAAAGAAAAAGAAAAAGAAAAAGGAAAAGAAGAAGAAGAAGAAGAAGAAGAAGAAGAAAAAGAAGAAGAAAAAGAAGAAGAAAAAGAAAAAAGAAAAAAGAAAAAGAAAAAAAAAGAAAAAGAAAAAGAAAAAGAAAAAGAAAAAGAAAAAGAAAAAGAAAAAGGAAAAGAAGAAGAAGAAGAAGAAGAAGAAGAAGAAAAAGAAGAAGAAAAAGAAGAAGAAAAAGAAAAAAAAAGAAAAAGAAAAAGAAAAAGAAAAAGAAAAAGAAAAAGGCTGCCTGTGACAACCAAAGTTCTTGTGGAACTTCCTATCGGAACTTGGCGTGGTGGGGATTTCAGAAACCTGGCTAGTCACAGGGCAATTTTCTTGCAGGAAAATGCTTTGATCTTGCCAGAAAAGAGGTTGCGAGCTGGGGTATTCCCCAAGCCTGCGTACTGAGAGGTCGGTGGCCTCTGACGCCACCAGAAGACCGTACCGTCTTAGTGCTAGCGCTGCCGGACAACTCACGATTGCATCAGAGGAGTGTCCGAACGTTATCCATCTTGAAAAGATACAGAAAAGCCCCGCAAGACAGATTAGCAAAGGATTTTTCGCCAACACGTTGCTCTTCCGCACCTTCAAAAATCTTTATCTGTATAAGCAAAAAGGACTTTTATTCATCCTGACGCAACTTAGGCCACAAACCAGAGCCGTTCCTCCCTGATGCGCTAGGCCAAGACAGGGGATCCTTGAAACAGTACCGACAGAACGGGTTTGCTCACCGAGGGAGTACCAAGAGCGGCCTGCAGAATCCCCCCAAATTCTCATGACTAGAAGAAATGTAAAAAACAGTGTAAAGAGTCAGGTTCAGATTTCTGCTGCAATCCCGGAACAAATATCCCGTATTTTGAATAATTTTTCAAGATTTACATGCATCGCAGCATGCTCTTATCTGTGCCTTTAGGTAACTAATACTTTTCAAAATCTGTAAGGAAAAAACCCCCAAACTAATCTGTTCAAATGGGTTAAAATGACGCCTTAAATGAAGCACGTTGCAGGCAGAAGAAACTTCATTATCATATTGTGAGATAGCTCAACCCATACTGGAAGAATATGCCAGAAAGTTCCGAGAAAGCAGAGAAAATGCTGGAAGTGAGCATTTCTGTGGCTGTAAGAAAGCAACAAGAAGAGAGTAAACAATGATTTTATTAATTTGTTAACATAACAGTAAATACAAGCCATTGGTATTGATCTTTGATTATCGATTGATATTTATTAGGTACTCTGAATACCCGAGAGAACAATTTAGCTCTATTGTTCAGTTTAAGATGAATTAACGTTTCAGTTGCATCACTTTTGCAGTATAGAACAATCTGGTTTTCAGTTATCCTTTCCACAGTGGATGGGTTAGATGAATTAATTTTCTGTTGATATTCATAGCGTTCAAAAATTCCATATCTTCTTCCCTCAGATTAAAATCAAAAACCTGGTTTGGAGGAAAAAAAAAAAAAGAAGTGTGATGAGAACATTGCAAAGACTAAAGCGCACACATTTGTTTAGTATTAGCATTCTATAATTTAGGTGGTCTGTTTTTATTTTGAGTTCTTGATAACTAATATCAATCAAATGGCCTTTTTGGTTTTAAAAGGCCATTGTAAAAAGTTTGCTGTATTCATTTTTGCGAGTATTTGTACTTTATTTTTAGATCACTAAGCAGAACATAACATTAGGAAAGCTTAAGTCCAAGCAGAAAGAACTGAAGTCGTTGAGAAAGTGACATGCACCAGTTTTACTGGATATCATTGCACCCAAAACCGTAACACGCTTTAATATATCTAATCATGATGTCTGGTTTTTGCATATGTATTAAAATATAGCAGAAGTTGTACAGCAATGAAACTGTATAATGCAGCATTAGAGAACTTTCTGAAGGTTAATTTTTTATTCCATCGATACGGATCAGTCAACTAAAGTCCTACCGTACGTTTTCTTCTAGGGTACGCTAAAGACATTAATGGGCATGATAACTGAACTTAACATGCTATTCTGAAGAACCAGAAGTCTTAGATGGAAAATCCGCAATTATCTGGCAGATTACAGGTGTTACTTATCTGTAATACTGGGGAGGGGGAAGCAGGAAAATAACCATTTCCTGGAAAAACCAAAACAAAACCACCTGTGATAATTTTTCTGATTAATCAAAAGGTACTTATATCTGCTTTCTAAGGCATTCATGATAATCATGCAAAAATCTCACAAACCATAGAATCATAGAATCACAGAATCATTAAGGTTGGAAGAGACCTCTAAGATCATCGAGTCCAACCGTCCACCCAACACCCTCATGCCCACTAAACCATGTCCCTAAGCGCCTCATCTACCCGTCTTTTAAATCCCTCCAGGGACGGTGACTCAACCACTTCCCTGGGCAGCCTGTTCCAATGTTTAACCACTCTTTCAGTAAAGAAATTTTTCCTCACGTCCAATCTAAACCTCCCCTGGCGCAACTTGAGGCCATTTCCTCTTGTCCTATCGCCAGTTACTTGGGAGAAGAGACCGACCCCACCTCGCTACAACCTCCTGTCAGGTAGTTGTAGAGAGCGATGAGGTCTCCCCTCAGCCTCCTCTTCTCCAGGCTAAACAACCCCAGCTCCCTCAGCCGCTCCCCATCAGACTTGTTCTCCAGACCCCTCACCAGCCTCGTTGCCCTTCTCTGGACACGCTCCAGCACCTCGACGTCCTTCTTGTAGTGAGGGGCCCAAAACTGAACACAGTATTCGAGGTGCGGCCTCACCAGTGCCGAGTACAGGGGCACGATCACTTCCCTGCTCCTGCTGGCCACACTATTTCTGATACAGGCCAGGATGCCATTGGCCTTCTTGGCCGTGTGATATAAAATAGCTGGCTGCTGTTTCATTAATATAGAGTCCATTAAATATATATATTTCGACATCAGGAAAGTGAATTTATACCACAGTATATGTATGACCTTAACAGCTACGCTTCAGATTAATCTTCCGCCACCTTTATACTGCACCCAAAGCAAGTGATTTACTGTAAGTTCATCTTGGCAACATTATACTTATGGATATTCAATGGGATGAATCCAGGTCATGAAGAACCATTAGGAAAGAATGAATTCATGGAAAAAAGAAAAACAAAACAGAACAAAACAACCCAACAATCGCTGCTCTCCTTGTTACCAGGAAACCGTGAAAGTAATTGTACGCTCCCCCCCCTCCAAATTTACAGCCAAGTTACGAACTTAGCACTAGTTCATTATACTGGAAGATTGAAGCCTCCTCTAGAAAGTCCTGGAAATCTATTTTGCAGGAGAAAAAAACCAGAGCAATCATTAATAGGGTGATAATACTCTCAAATTTCCTGTTAGTAGTTCAGCTAGAGAGTGGTTCTCAAAGGGCACTGGCTAGGAAGGCCGCTGTTTAATAGTCCTCTTGGGCACAGTGGCGGAGATTGGTACAACGGATCTGTGCAAAGCTGCTTAGAGAAGCACAGCCCACAACGTTGGCCATGCCTGCAGTGGTTTACAGGGTGATACGTGTTACATCACTGGGAAGTAGTATCAGCGTCATCGATTTAAATTCATTTCAGGCTTTGTGCTCCTCTTTTCTTTTTTTTTTCCTCCCCCCAATGGCTAGTGGCAAGTTTTGGAGATAGTTCTCATGCTCTGGTCCCTTAGAAGTCATGACTATTCTGTAACGTCCTGGCAGTTGTAATTAGTCCTGTGTGATGCTGCAGATGGATAAGCAGCCATTCATAAAGACAAACAGTAAGGCTGCATCACTTATCTCACAAATATAACACAGGCTCAGCACAAGGCAGTGCAAATACTCGACATTTTCTTTCAAAAGCGCAGGCGTCTTAATGGAGGCTGCAAAAAGCGCCAAAAGATTAAGTACAGAACGAGACTCCCAGCACAGCAACACGAAAAATTGCCAGAAGGTCGGCTTCTCTGTTATTTTTACCCGATGCGCTATAGTCGGAGGTGAGCTTCAAAGCTTTGCAAGGGGTGTGGCAAGGCGGAAAGAGTTAACTGCTTGGATTCAGTTAGTGGCAGCAAGAGCGACTCCACCTTTGTCCCCGTTTTCAAAAACATGGGGTTAATGTCAGCTTTCCTGTCAGAACAGTTCAGCACTGCTATTTTTAAAAGAAAATCAGCTGGTGTTAACCACAGTGCAAAAAGAAGGGTGAATATTATGCAGTCTGCTTGCCTTAGTGGATTTGTGAACTTGCTAGTATTATAGTTTCTTTATTACACATGCTAGTCAGAAAAATAATGTCTTGAAAGTTACGGTGCGGGTCAGGTGCGGTAGAAACACTTCTGCGGCCTGATTAAAAAAACTTTTCCTGAAGTATGCACTTTACAGAGCCATTCCCATTATTTTCCCATGAAAAGTTCTTAGGTGCCTTCACCTCCAGTAACAGAAAGGACGAAATTCGGAAATAGGCAAGAAAGAGGAGAGAGGGAGCCACTCAGAGTCAGACAGGAAGCTTCTTGGCTGCACAGAAAATGGCCTCACCCTTTCCACCGACTTTCAGTTTATTTTTCCCTTTCCTTACTTGTTTCACGAGAGTTCCCTGCCATTAAGAGTCACAGTGCTCCTGCAAAGGCAGCTGATTGCACTTAGGTAGGTAACACTGATAAATTGTATCTTATTTTAAATAAGGGTTTATCTCGACTAGGAAGGAGTGCCCCAATCAGTCACTACCACAAATGACCTACATAATAGGGAAGAAAAAGTGCCTTCAATTTTCAGGTGTATTCCCTGTTCCCATTGGCAAGATGATGGGTTACACGGATAAAATGGATGCATTGCTGTATCTTACAAACGGTCATTCTAGAAAGGTGAAAAAGTTTTCTCTCGAGAGAAAGCTTGTCTTACAGAAATATGGACAGGAGGAGGAATTTCAGCCCTGGGGAAGAATATGCATATAATTCCAAGAATTCACTTGAGGGATGAATTCTGAAAAAAAAAAAAAATAAAAAAAAAAAAAAAAAAAAATTAAAAAAAAAAAACTGAAAAAATGAGCACCCCCAGGCTAACTGACCAAAGAAGAAATAAAAAAAAAAAAAAAAAGGAGTTAAACATCCTGAGTTTTTATGTTCAGCACTTTTATATCCTTTTGGTCTTCTAGGTTCTGCTTCTATTACAGAACATCACTCCTCACTGCTACCCCTAAATCTCACTACTGTTCACTTTCCAATTTCTTATTAGTTGTCTTATTTCTGTATACTACGATCAAAGTTGTCGGTACTTTAGAAATGTTCATTTAGATGAGGTGATGCGGACTTATTCTTCAGCAGCCTTTGCTTAAAGAGAAAACTATCTACCACATCTGTAATGTCAATTTAGTTGTAGAGAGGAGCATAAAATATGAACCCACCGAGTCTGTCTTTCCCTTTGCAACCTCATCAAAGGTAAAAGAGGATTTGCTCAATGATTCTAAATTAACTAACGTGCGAATGCCATATTCAAAGGAAGAGGCTCCAGCGATATACCCCAAGCACACAGGAGATAACAGGGTTCCGGTCTCTTGGGGCAATCACAGCTTCTAGCAGAAAACGATGGCCATTAGTGATGGCGCAATGTGCAAAACTGCACACCACACCTGGGAGAGAGATAGCATGGGTCAGCCGAGTCCTGGCACTGGAAAAAAGCTTATATTGCCTCAAAGTACATGCAACTTTGTACACAGTTACAATTAAACTCTACCCTAGTTCTAAAGGCACTACCTGGTAGCAAAGGAATTGCTAGGCAAGATTACAAAAAAAACCCCAACCCAACCAGAAAAAAGTCCTGAACCAACAATAACGAAGTCTGAAGGTAGTTAGGAAAGTAAGTATCAGATTAAAACTGTAACTTGCCACAACTGCTCCTTAAGAAGAGTGCTTTTTCAGTAATACTATTTCTATCTGATTATTCCTTTCATTACTCACTGTACTGCTTAGATACCATGATCTAGATCAGAGAAAATGGTGGCTTGACTTCCTAGCAAAAGCAGATGCAGACACAAAAAACATTGTAAAATCTCTTTGACAGAGGGAACAAGGAAACATATCAATGAATTAGGAGGCCACCCTCACTGTAGGCTAGTCATCTGCGTAGGGGATTAGCAAGAAAAGCTGGTTTAGTTCTGTCTAGCTTAGAACAGGGAGGTAATCAGTCAGAAATAAGTGCAGAAAAAACAGAGCTGTTCTGACCAACGTGGGACTTCGAGCCACGTAACTAGTCCTAACTGGTATTGTTCTGGTAATACTGAAGCTAGAATTCGGTAGCGTACATAAAGATTTGGTTCACTTTGTATGCGTCATTTGTGTTGGAAACAGTGTGTTGATGCGATGTCTGTTTCTCTAGAGAGAACTGGAGGTAAGACTCCAACTTCTCTTTTGTAGTTCCTGAGAAAGTCTCCACGGCCAAAAAGCCACGCTGAGCGAATACGAGGCGCGTGATTCACTTCTAGTCCTCCTCTTATGAGTTCAGATACACTGTGAAGCAAGGAGTCCCTCAACAGCACAGTAACAGGTTTTTTCATATTGCTAAGGTATTCTTCTATAAAGTGACTTTTCAAAAGCGGGACTAGCTGATGACCACTGGTAGAAAGGGTTATTTCTGGGCAATCTTTCCAATTTTCCCTTACTGTGGAGGTTGTGGAGCTTTCTTGGAACAGTACATTGTACAGGTATTAGCGAGCACAGCATTTCATACAGTATCTTGTATTTTAAAATAATAAATAATACATTAATGATTCCAGAGGAGAATCCAGACAAATTTTCGCGGAAATGTTTACCAGGAAAAACCAGCCAATTATTCTGAGGAGCTGTTAGCAAAAAGGTAAGTTTGTCTGTATTTTAGCCAAGCTGTACAGAAGCTCTACTTCGAGGACAAACAATGCAGGCTAGAATATATGATCGCTGTAAGTCACTCCTTGATAAAAAACTAAGGAGCTTTGTTTCATGATATGACTAAAGCAGAACAGCACTGGGAAAACTGCCTCAGGAAGTCCACACACAATGTAAATCATAGTCAGATTTTCCATACCTTTCTAGACACAGGAACTCCTAAAATATCAAACCAACGTGACTAGAAGTTGAATACTCAGCCGGTAAAAGACTCTGCAGACATATTTCTCAAAACAGATCTGTAAACTACATCTATCTGTATCTACATCTATCTCTATATATACATACATAGTTTATGTGAAAATCTGAGGAACAGTATAGGCTCTTAATGAGATTTCCTGGACAAATCCAAAATGAAAGCTAAACTAATTCTCACTAAAAGCTACACAAAACTCACCAGTTTCCAGTAAGAGAAAAAGATCAGTAACAACAAAGATGCCTCTTTGGCTCTTAGAGCTTGCTGCCCAGCTCTTAGTCATGCAGATAAGTTTATTTGCACGTGGGCTTCTCTGGAAAGATTTCTACTTTGTTATACCTACAGGCTAGTGAATAATATGCATAGAACTCTCTGGGTCAATGCCATTATTATGCAATAATATGCATAAAACTTTTTTTGGTGATGCTCAGATATTGCTTATCACAGTGACATTATATTTTTGATGGAGATTTGCAGTTTATTGTACTGTATAAATACTGTAATAATAATGGTATTAACATATTTTTTTCACCCAGCTTTTTCTTCTTCATATGTTGTATCCCTCTAATAAAGTACTTGGAAAATTATTTCGTACTTAATACCTGTGTTGTACACCAGTAGGTAGCATTTTTTTCTTACATTTTTAAAGAAGGGATTATCTCCTCATGCTCTTTGATTAAATGGCCTGATGCAGGGTCAATGGCATAAATAAGAGGCTTTGCATGGGCTTCAGTGAACTACGGATCAGGATTTGAGATGGAAATGTAAGATCTCTGTACAAAAGTGCTACCCTCAAAAATATCTCGTCGTTATCAATGTTAAGGATTTCAAATCAGTTATCATTAATAGCAGACATTAATCTTAGGATTATATTCTTATTGTAACCTTCCCTGAATTTAAATTACATGTTGTGACTCACTGATCACTGACAAAGGAAAAAGCTCAAACCTTCATTCACACAATAAGGCTTGGGTCCCAGGAAACATGTCTCCCGTCATGCATTCCATTCAGAATGTCAACATCGTCTTCTGCTATTGTAAAATCAAACACCTATGGGAACGCGTATACAGTTAACATCACGAACAGAGAGAGAATCAGGAGTGTTTCTGTTATTTAAACTGACCAAGATTCATTTAAATGTGAGGCAGATTTTTTCTGTATTTTTCCTTCTGGAAATTCTTCTTATATTTTGTCATGGACAAATATTCCGTTAAGCTGACAGGCTCCACTGGGTCCTTTGCTCCTTTTGTGACTCATTTTTATTTGTAGACTGTGTTAAGATGGTTTTGTAGCACTCTGGCCTCAGGCAAGGGTCCAAGACAATGGTAGTATCAAAGCTGTTTTTGACAGCACTCTATATGGTCGCTGCCAGAGGTATATGAATACCCTGCCTGCAATCCCTCTGGAAACCTGAGCTCAGTATTTCACTTCTATCCCAATGTTCAGTTTAGAGTGTTACAGTTCTTTTCCTCAGAACTTTGGCTAAAGAGAACGATTAGAAGGCAGCAGGACATTCACAAAGCTAGCAAACCAAAGGCTATATCATAGAACCACGGAATGATAGAATAGTTTGGGTTGGAAGGGACCTCTAAAGGTCATCTAGTCCAACCCCCCTGCCGTGGGCAGGGACATCTTCAACTAGAGCAGGTTGCTCAGAGCCCCGGCCAACCTGACCTTGAAGTATACCTATCTTTTCTATGTGTACTTAGACAAAACACTCATGGATCAGCTAATAGAGAAACAGGTACAGTGCTGTAGTGCCTCAGGACTAACTCAAACTTGAAAGCAACCACCTGTCTTCATGCACAGGTTCTTCCAGCCACCGACTTCGCCTGTGGCGAGACCTGCAACATGAATGACGGTGTCAGTGTTTTCTTAACAGGTGTCTTATTCAGACGTTATCACTTCAGAACTGAAGTTGCTTTAAGTCGGTCTGTTGTCTTTGTCAGAGCTCCTCCATACTCAATAAAAAGATCCCGTGGAGCCTGAACTGCTGCCAAATGAGCTCCTCCCATCCTGCATTATCCAGCAGTCACTGTCTGCTGGAATGACCCTTGTAGTCAAACCTCAGTGCTCAAGCTTTTTAAACCTAAACCAGGACCAGTCCCAGAAGCAGAAATCCTATATAATATATTATATACTAAGGGTTTAATGAGGTCCACGCTTCCACCAACTTGACTAGAGGTGGTAAAGACTCAGGCCAACACTCTGGCATGGGGGAAAGAAAAGAATGGGAGATGCGATAAACAACATCGAATAACCGTGCCAGCTCTCCCCTCCTCCTCTCCATCCTAAGTCTTTTAAGTTTTGCTGCAATGCGTTTCCTCAGTTGTGCGAAATGAATTGGTGGGGCCACAGAGTAACGTCTGTAAAAAATAGAATGAGTCTGGATTTAAAATATCATTGGGGAAAATAAAATCAAATAAAAAGAATAAGGAAGGATTTTTAGCCCGGTTGTGTTCTCTGATCTGGTTCACAATGCAGTACCACAAACAGCTGTGCTTGTTCGTACGCACAGGCAGCGTGCACGTCAGAATAGATAGTCAAGGCAGGAGCTGTATAAAGAGGCATAGCCACCAGGAGAAATCCTCATTCATGTGAGTTGATTTACACCTACACACACAGTGATTTAACTAGCAGACAGAAGTTTGCTATCTTCTTGCAAAGTTTCTTCCTGATTTGCCAAACAGTTCGTACCCCTACGATATTTTTGGAAGTAACAATAAGGTGGTTGTGGTTTCCCCTCTCCTCCCCCAAAGAAAGCACACTTCTCAGATTAGAGACACGGAGAGAAAAATGAATGACTTAAAAACATTTGGTGTGAAAAGGAAATAAAAACAGGGTGGGGGGGAATCGTGCTGCCAATCCTCATTCGTTCCCCACTTATCTTTGTCCATCCCCTTCGTGCCGGGACCTTCTCTGCAAATTGAGTAGAAGGAAGAAGGCAGGGGAAGAGTCAGCTCTGGCAGGACCGTGATTTCCTCAGAAGGTCTGTGTGTGGGATATCCCCAGGAGAGTTTTACAGCTTTTATATGGTGTTATGCATAGCACACAAACTCCTTCCCTTTGACCTGTGTGCCTGTCACAGGGAGGACCTAACCATAACCAGATCAGGCTGCTCTACAATCAGCCAAGTAATAAATAAAAATATTAATAATAAAAATCAACGATGAAAGGTCTTTCTATGGGTACCTTTTTTACACACAGTGATTAGCTCTCCAGTTGATTTCTGACATTTGTGAATGACGGTTTTCTACTATACTGTAGTAAATTTATGGTGGTATAATTTGCCAGTTTTAACTGAGTTGCCCCAATATAAAACTCGTATAGGAAAATGGGCAGGCAAACCGAAGTATTAAAAACAGTAACTCAGATGTTAGTCAGACTTGAGTGCACAACCAAATCTTACCTTGCAGTTTTCCTGTATCCTTTCTGCTTTTGTGGACTTTGGAATAGTGACAATCCCATTCTGAAAAACATAATGCTTCTCATCATTAAAATTTACACAGTTTCAAAGAAAATAATCTCTCTTCAAAACATTTCAAGACATTCCTCATGCCTTCTGAGGTTTTAATTTAATTTTTCAGAGGATGCTGACATTCCTATACACTATTTTTAATTGCAGTTATATACACTGCATTAAATTCCAACGGAGATTACGTGGTTTATGTCAACTTAATGCACTACTTCACTGCTTAGTACTTCGTGTTGAGCGATAGAAATGGAACAATGCCCCATACTGCTTGTAACATTTTGTTTGAAAACATCTCTTTTATTGGTGGTTCTTTTCATTCTCTACAATCAGATTATCTGCCTATTTAAAATACTGCCATGCTTTGTGTACTACATGCCAAATGTCCAGTACAGCACAGTTAGTTCACACAGTATCAACATAGTGAAGGCAAAAATACTTTCTGTATAAATTCTGGTTTGATGCACAAACCCTGAACTATTTGCATTTTTTTTCCTGAGAAAGGAGACACGTTTTTATTACCCCCCTCCATTACCTGGATACTCCAGCGTATGCAAATCTGTGCTGGAGTTCTGCCATATTTTTTTGCCAGCTGAATGACACTAGGATGAGTGAGTGCTTCACCTTTGGCTAAAGGACAGTAGCCTTCAAAAACAATATCTCTGCTCCTACAATAATCCACCAGCTCCTGAGGTCGTTGGAAAGGGTGGTATTCAACCTTAGGTAAATGGAAATAAACTTTCAGTAAAAACCTTGAGACTACATTTGGTAGAAAACATCGCTGATAAATGAAAATATTTTTTCTCTCTTGTTTTAAAAATGCAACACGAGTGAAATCACTGCTTCTGGGAGATAGATGTAAGTTGTCCGCTTTGGAAGACATGTGAAGGATATTAATCCACAAGCATTTTGCCATTAATTGACACAATAGTTTACTACGTATTTTATGCTTCCCCCAGAAGTAAGGTGCACGGAGCAGTTGTCTGCTCTACCTGCAGTTGGACTTGCACTCATGTTCTGCTCCGTGTTTGAGAAATATATGCAAATGCATAGAGGAAGTCGGCATCAGGTCATTTTTATTGGTGATCTGAGACTACCTTCTCTTCCCCAAATCTACGTCCTTTCCTGTTTCTTTACTAATGATCTTTGAGTTGCGCAGGGAAGGGGCCGGGCAGGGACTGGGTTTGCAGGAGACCAACCAGAACAATTTGCTTGGGATGAGGGCCCGACCTCGGAAGCGAAGCCTGTTGGCATGGGTTGTCCATGGAAAATCCTGTGTCCTGTGTGTGACGTCACCAACAGCTTATGCAGGGAAGCAATCGCGCTGTGGAATGAAGTGTGAAGGAGACCCTTGGTAGGAAGGAAGGTCACAAATTGCCAAGAACCAGTCAAAAGAGGAAAAGTAACAAGCTACAAAGACACAGTTGTTGGAAGCAAAAGGAAACAGAAGTTATTGGAAAGTAATGGTCTCAGAAGAGCCACGTATCCTGGCGTGTAGCAAAAGCCAAAAGGGAGCCTCTGTAATAGTCCTTACTACGTTACTTAAACGTATTTCACAGTTTATACATTGTAAGAAGCATACCTTCCTCTGCAGTCAAATGAAAATGGGTAGTGTTTTCCTTCATGAAAGACATAACCATGTGATGTATTTTTGTGACTGGCCGTCACCATTGTTCCAGTGATCTAACTCTTGCGCATTTTGAAGAAAAATACTCTTCTGAACAATTACCTCAACACATGGAATCTGGAAAATTTCTTCTGCCACAAAGAGGACAAATGAACATTTCCTGTTTCTCATCTTTAGTACATGTTGTCTTTTCAGACAACAATAGTCGGGAACAATAGGCTGGCAGTCATTCAATATGCGCTAAGAAAAAACTGTGCCCCTCGAAGGCTGGGCTGAGTCAGCCTAAAGCTGCTATGATCTAAATTACTAGATGGACTCGGGAACAAGGTTCAAGCAGCAGACACATCCATGTCTTCAACCTTTGATGTTTCTTGACCTTTCAGTAGCCTTTGTGTTTCATGTTTATATGCGTGTAAGACCCGTGTTTAGGTCATACAGTTATTCACTTGTTTGCACCTGAGCTGACCAGAAAATAGTCTCATTGTTTTTACACCAAACTATGAGGGGAAAAAAGAAAGAGCAAGCAGGGTGTATTACTCAATTATTACAATAGTAATAAGCAATGTTAGTAGATGTTCTTTACACTAAGTGTAACAAATAACGTAGCCTGGAAAATATTAAATAAAAAATTATGTATTTAGGATCAAATGCTGAAAAATCTGCATCAGGTGACTTACTCAGCATTTATTCCTAATATAACTGCAAGCAGACTATACCTGCTGGTCTAATAAGATTTCTAGGCAGCACAGTTCCAGGTTGCACCAGAAATACTTAAAGCAAGAACAGCGTGCTGAGGTGTCACCTGCCTGCTTCACAAGCAGAATACACAGCAACAGCTACTTCCCACCTGGGAAGATTATACTTCATGCCCTTCCCTGAATCAAGAGACTCCCGAATTTTGTGAATTCAATTTTGGCACATGCAGTTGTGTGTTGGTAGCAGCAAGTATTTATCTTCTGAAATACATTGCTAAAATAATCAAATGCATAAAATAAAACAAGCACTTCTGAATTTGTTTTTCTTGTGAAAACTTTCTGGAAGGTTCTAGCGGCATCTGAATGCAAGGGACTAGCATCCTGAGCTAGAAGAGGCATAGGGTGAGTGGCCAGCATGTGCTTCCCCTCAAAATAATAATTCCTACTTCCTGGCTTGCCCCACCCTTGCTATTTTAGTCATCAAACTTTTCTCAGGCGAGGGCTGTCCGTCATGTGGTGGTAGAGGAAGATCTCGATCTTTTCTGGCACTCTACCCCAGGGTGATTTGTGTGTAAAAACTGGCATTTGTTTAGTAGAACAGGTTGCAGTTCACGTTACAGAACTCTTCACAGCTGCCACTTGGTCAGCCCCAGGGGAACTCTAAGTACGCGCTGTTTTTTTACGACAGTCATAGCGCAATGGGGAAAAGTTGAGCCTAGTAACAATCCTGACACACGGACCCAGAAAGCCGTACCTCGGACGATGGTATACAAAAGCCTTACGCTTTCCACCCTGTTGTGGGTTCTTTTCACCCGGTACAGTTTCCCTGCATCTGAGCAGTTTCTCAATGGGAATGCAGAGCCTTACAATTATTTCTCTTTATAAAACTGAAATACAAGCCTAGAAATGTTTTCTCTATAGAGGAACAGTTCAGGTGAGTTTATGTACAAAGGGGTTGTTTCCTAATGCCTCAAAGTACTAAAATACATTTCTACCTTGTACAAATTTACATAAGAGAGCTCAATATTGATGGCAATATTAACATTATTACTAAATCTCTCTGAGGTTATTACACAGTAATGTGCACTTCTAAATATTGCACAAAAAATATTGATGAGCATTCCTACATGGAATTCGGAGAGGAACAGTTTATATTTGGTTTCAGTGTATCACTTTATTAAATGAAACATCTTAATTAAATTCTTATAAAACATAATTTTTTCCCCTAATGAGTGACAGGCATAGGGGTCTTCAAAGAGACTTCAAAGACTTCCTTGAGCGTAAATCCAAACTTACCACGGCCAAGTCAATTACAAACTCTGGAATACAAACCTGTAAATTCTAGGTTGTAGGTTTCATTCTACATGATGCTAGAATAAAATATTTATCATCATTTTACACAGTGTTTAGCAGTATTTTTGATAGTAGATTGTAATTTTAAAAGGTGCTTACTTACTACTAAATACCTTAACAATACTCTTGTACTGTTTTTTCCAGGAACCAAGAGAGACAGTACTTACAACTCGGTTTGTAAAATAGAAGCATTGCTTACTACCTGGTTTGCAAAGGCTATAAAAGTCTAATAAAGAACCTCCTTTCTCCCGCCTTCCTACTTCCTCCTCCTCACAGAAAAAATAACTTTCGATTTTAACATCGTAAGAACTGTTGGAATTGTAAGAACACCCTGAATTCTTTATGCAAATTTAACACAGCTAAGAGGGAAGTCATTTTCCTTCACTTGTTTCTTAAATATTTAGACTCTGTACACAATTATTATTTGCAAATGTTTCATATTTAGAGATAAGTTCATTGAAAGAGTATGCTATTTTATGCATAAGTATAGCAAAGATCTTCTGTATTATAAATTCTGGGCAGTGAAATAAGAATTCAGTATAGCACTTCCATTCCCAATTTAAATTTTGGAATTCATTAGTTATTTGATAATGGTTAAGTAATCTCATCACCATCAGACTCAGCAACTCTCCAACACGAAGCAAGAAACATCCTCTTTTGAGGATAACCTGAACTATGGTTTATAAGATTCCCGTAACTCTAAAAAGTGTAAATTAATGCTATAGCAAAACTGTTCAAAGTGGAGCAGTTTGCAGTGGCATGGATATTTCATTGTTGGGTTTTTTGGTTTTGATTCGGAACAACGCCGTGCATCACCTTAAAGAAATGACTATCTGAATACAGCAGGGCCACCCTCCCACCCCCCAGTATCACTACCGTCTCAACTTCTTGTCTCCTCTTTTTCAGCCCCAGCGAAAGAGATGCCGTCAAATAGTATCAAGAAACAACTTTTCTCCATTACCGCTACTGCCGCAGTAAGACTGGTAGCATTTTGACATTGTGGGTAAGAGGAAATTTCAAAACAAATCCACGATCACGGCTTTTTTTCCTTGCAGTGGTTTAGTAGCACACCGAAAGGCTATTCGCATTTAACAGACTGTAACAACTTATGCCAAACTCCAGTAAGACTTTGATGATGTGTCTTTCTGAAAAGGAGACACAATTGAACCTTGGCAAACCCACCGATTCTTAAACAGTCATCAACCCGCCCATCTTAAGACATATTTCAACGGCTTATTTTGAATAATTGAATTTAAATATTTTACATGGTTTTATGTGAATTTAACGTTACTCATAATTGTCCTTTAGCAACCTTTAGTCTAGCGGACAGCAAAAATCAGAGATGTTAGGTTCTGACAGTCACAGTCCGAGCAACCTTTTTTGTGGCTGTTTATGACATGAAACCACAAACAGCTGCCAGAAATCCTCACCACCTGCACAAAGGGGAAAAGTATGCGCCTGCACTTCATCCATTCCAGTTCCCAGTTCTATGTTAGCATAAACACACTTTCGCTGGCAGGAGGTGGTAGGAATGGGAGCGTGAACTTCCAGCACAGCTGTGGGCAGAAAACTGCAACAAGGGAATAGTTGTCAGCGTCCTGGAAGTCTGCCGGTATGTAGGTTGCCATTTTTTATCTGCCTAGGGCAGCAAAAACTTTTTGCCAGGGCTCTCGCAGGACCTTCCTAAATGAGAAGTTCACTGAGTTTAATGTGATCTTAAAACATGACTATGAAATAAGGGGGGGAGCGAGGGAAGCAGCACCCTTGCATGGGTATGTAATCACCTGAGGTTTTCAGTGTTGCTTAGAGGAATTATATATAGTATTTGAACAGAGGCTCTCCAAAACCTTACTCGCTCTGGAGATGCTAAATGTTCAGTGCTCCTTGAGTTTTATTTCTAAACTGTTTTATCATCAAAAAATTGGCACGTGGACCATTTTTTTGTGCCTTAAAACCAGCCACAAACAAGTAGCCTGGGAGAAACTGGGGAAAAGAAAGGAGGAAGGACTTTCCCCCGCCCCCTCACTCCAGGTCATCCTCCTGAATGGTTTTCAATATGTATATAAATGAAAGAGAAGAAATTGTATGACGAAGGCTAGTTTGGACGTACTCTTTCAGGCACAGGGGTGGGGAGGAGATGATTAACCAAAAAAACCAAAGCAAAAACCCAAACCCAGATACTTTAAATATGTTTACCCACTCACCTGATTAACATGTGGAGTAATCACACAGTCTTCCTTTAGTTGCTCAAGATGACTGATAAGAAAGTTGCTTACACCAATTGATCTACACAAACCTAATGAGAAACAGAACAAGAAAAAGTTTTGGGACAATCCTAACTATTTGGGAGGATGATTTGAAAAATATTACTTTAAGAGACAAAATGATTGTACGCATCATTTCTGTATAGCAAAATACCGCAAAGAAACACAGAAAAATAGCACCGAAATCTAGTTTGACAGTATTATCTGAAAGCATGGTTCCGTCACAGTCACACTAGGAAATCATTTTATAATCTAAACACACTGGAAACTCCCCAGTGTATAAAAACTCCAGGCTAAATTCTGGGAAAGGCTACTGTAGTATAAGCAAAGAACAATTGGACTCCACCAGAATGAAAAGAAGGAAATGGTGTTCCGAGCAGCTTGCCAAAGCTAAAGAAAAGTGGAACATTTGCTGAAGACTAATAAGGTGTGAGCAATACAACACATGGACACACGGCCCGAATGAACTATGTAGCACTGCTTATAGTTCTATTAGATCATTACGAGATGTTACGTAAAACTCGGTATAAAAACTTCAATTAAGTGAGCAGTATCTAACAAGAACCAAGAAGCTTAAAAATGTAGCTAGATTTCTCGGCTCCTGTTGACATGTAAATAAAGTTAAACGCCACATAGGTGATATGAAGGTTATTTTTTTAAATAAGTCTTAAGTGTGCATGCGTGTGTATAAATTAAGTGCTGACAGTCCTAAAAGCAGACGTCTTCCTTCAAACCTCAGATACGATAAAGCACAACTCCCAATATTGGCCTGCCACCACACCTCAACCCTGACTCATCTTTGATAGTCTGGTCCTTATTCTGTGCTAAACACACCTAGTAGGAAAACCAACTGTGATCAGGCTAGTAGTGGTCTCCTGAGGCTGTGGATTCTGTGGACTATGAATCAGAGTCATTTCTTCAGCACGTGAACTTTGTCTTGATTGACTTGGTCTGCATTTCAACCTGTCACTCTGCAGACGGAAAGTCTGCCTCAAGGTGTGTGAACACAGAAGTCCAGTCACTCTTGGTAATGCAGGATTTGTGTTGGCCAAGTCTATAGAATGTATACGCATGTGCTTATCTATATACATGCATACAAATATCTATAGCAAAAAAGAAAGGAATTAAGCCAAAAGTTATACTGTTATTTTTTCAGAAAAAAAAAAGTCATTGGGCAATTTCAGCCAGTTGATGTCAAAGGAATGATTTCTGGACTGAAATCGCCCTCACTCCACAGTTAGAATCGCCACTTTCTTGAGGTCGGCAGGGAACTATGTGGAGCTGCCTTGATTTGAAGCTGGAATACAGACACATAAAAAGCACTTATTAATGCAACTGAGAGACGTGAATACATTAAAAGGAGAATTTCACTTGAAGCAAAAGCTAACGAAAATGTTGCACAAAAATGTACTAACCAAGTAATTATTCCTAAAATGCATATGTTTTATGTATAAAAAAACCCAACTCCCAAGTAGACTATAAATTGGCATATAAAATATGAGCTATACGATTAAAAAGTATCTTGAATTGGCAGGTTAGATTTACCTGGGCAAAACAAAGACATGAAATTTTTCTAGTCTTCTGTGAAATTCTGTAAGTGAAGTTACAGTTTACTGCTAATTATTATAAACAGATTGTTAAAGCCCTGAAAAAAAAATCCGTTTTGCATTAGAAAAGCCACTAACTATATAATATAGGCAATTTGACTGCTGTGCTGCCTTCACATATTTTAGCAGCACAAGCAGGTAAGCTGCACAGCAGCAAAACCTGCACACATACTATCACTTTTTAATGTGGTTTCTTTTGTAGAATACAAAAAGGAGGAAAAAAAATACATTAGCAACTAAAATGCTAGACAGCTTTCCCTTACAGAAATTTCCATTGTTCAAGATGTATAACATAATTAGGTTATAACCTGCGCTATAGCGATTTGCATAATTTGTATGTCATCTGCCAGAAGGAGCAAAACCTGAGCTTTTGACTTATACTGACAAACAACCCTGGAGTGTCAACACTAATAAATCATTATGCCAAGGTAGTCAGAAAAACACTTGCAGTTTTAACACAATGGTGAACCAAAATATTATACTCTGTTGTTGAAAGCTAAGGAGTTAGAAAAACCATGCTGTTATTGCCCTTGAAGAATAAAGCTTTTATTTCAGACTGAAATAAAACAAAACTCAATCACAGACATGAAGGATGAGAGGGCTTATTAAACTTGTCCATTTCCACAGAAAGCTTCCATTCTTTTTCCCCCTACAGTATACTCTAAGATGTTTTGCTTCTAGCATACTTCTTATAGGAGACTTTGAAGTCTGTTCCATAGTCTCACTGCAATCATTGGTAAGTTTTTTGTTAGATTTCTGTGCTGGTTGTGGCTGGGGTAGAGTTAATTTTCTTGACAGTAGCTGCTATGGGGCTGTGGTTTGGATTTGTGCTGGAAACAGTGTTGATAACACAGGGATGTTTTCGTTCCTGCTGCGCAGCAC